TAAAACAGGGAACTCCACACGCCACTCAAACCCACTCCATCCATTGGCACATCCTGTGGATAAGATTCGGTTTGATTTGGGCTTTTGGTACCAGACACTGGGACATTCCAGGGACCCAGAGGGACGCCTCCATGAGCACCGGATTTATTTCCTACCCCCGGATGGAATATAAAAGAATCTAAGGCTCGTTTTAAAAAAAGAATTGTTGCTTACTAAGGAAGACTTTTAAACACACACCAGTGGGGTTGGGGTGAACTCAGACATGATTCCCTTAGGAGTCCAGTGGGAGAGACTGTGCAGCAGGGGTCAATGGGGACTTGTTTTTATCTTTAACTTTCGGGGCAGATGTGCTGTCTCCTGTGTCAAAATAGGACCAAGGGTAAGCACTGTCCCGTCTATCAGCAGAGGCGTTTGTTGAAGAGTCATCCACCCTCTGGTGTCCCAGGGCTGTGGTGCCCGGGACCATGCCCTTTGGGAGGAGGACAGGTGACTTGGGTGAACACAGAGCTGGGGAAATTGATCCATCAAGGGACAAAGTCAGGAGCACAGCACTCTGGGTAGAAAAAGCAGGGAAGGAGCTGGGACCGGTGGCTCACGGGAGAGCGGTTACCTTTACCTGGCTCTGAATCAGCATCACAGAGCCAAGGGGTGCTGAAGGACAGAACAGGGCACCGATGTCTTTTACTGAGCGAGTGGGAGAGTGAGTTGTAAGAGGGAGAGAAAGAAGAGGGGAGGGAGAGAGAAAGAGAGAGCACTAAACCTTAGTAAAATACAACACTTAGGTAGCAGAGAATTGGAAAGAAACAAGAACTCAGTCTGGGGTGTGGCTCAGAGTGGTACTGTGTGCTCCAGCACCTGGTACAAATTCCCAGCCTGGACAATCAGCAAGCCTAAATGTGAGAGCCTGGGTTGGATTGTCTAAAAGTAGCACTAGGTACAGGAATGGGAGCAGTTCCTAAGCACATCACCACATATGGTGATTTTATTCCACTTCAACGCCACACCACGGATGCTTAAATGCAGCTTATTATGGTGTATGGTTATCTAGTGAAAGTATCTTTAAAGATTCAGCTTTCTCATGTGCAAGGTTTTGAAGAGGGCCATGGAGGTCCTCAAAGGAGGCAGGCAGGGGCTGGGATGTGCATATGCCCAGGGGCAAGCTTCAAGTCGGCTCCATCTTACAGCAGGGCAAGGTAGATCTATTGAAGATTCCAGAGGACCCAGCCAGCCTCGACCTGCGCAAGGTCCTGGGGTGAAGCAGCAGGCTGAGGAGGTGCAGAGGTCACCACCATGCAGGATTCAAGGCTGAATGACGCAGGAGGGTTCTGGGCTGGGGGGGGGGCTGTCAGCGGGCTGGGGACAGAAGAGAGTGTCGGCCTATGCCGGGGGAGAGGAACAGGGTGCCAGCCAGGAGCTCAGCTGGCTTCATTCTTGGGTCAGGCTTGGGAGAGGTTAATGGCATCCTTCAGCGTCTTCAGTGTCTTATATGAAGCAGGAGCCAGGAAGGAGGAGGAAAGGGAAGCAAAGTCCGAGGGAGGCGAGTCCCACAGCCCCCTCTGATGAGAGAGAGAAAGCCTTAAAAATTTGGGGCGGTAGGTGGAAAGGAAGTGATCTTTGAACATCAAGAAAAGTCATTAGGCACCAAAATAAAATGAAACTAGAAAATTAAAAAGAACAAGAACTAGAAAGAAAAAAAGTATAATATGTGACATTTCATTTTTATCGGTACGGGGGATCGAACTCACGACGGCCTGCTTGCAAGGCAGGTGCTTATGCCGCTGAGCTAAACCTCCAGCCCCAATATGTGACATTTAATAAATTGAAAAAAAGGAGAAAAGGGAGTTAAAAATAAAAGTCAGTAGATGAAAAAGAAGTGAAATGGGAAAATCTGGCTGAAGAGCAGGAAAAGGGAAATAGTTTGAGTTTTCGCCAACTGTATTAACCAATAGATTGTTAAATTTGTGAATAACTTCTCTGCTCTTGGGTCTAGAGCTTCGGTACCAGACACTGGGACATTCCAGGGACATTCTAAAGTCCCTTCTAGAAAGGACTTGCACTTCAAGCTCCTAGATGAAAGCTTTTGTCTCACAGGAGTGCCTGAAATCAGACTGGATTCTTCCAGGCACTCGGGGAATGTCTGCGCTATGGTGAGCAGGCTGCTCTTCCCAGAGAAGAGATCAAAGAGAAAGCCAGAGCAGAGGAGAGACTTGACAGCATTTTTGCCCCAGCCCCTGGCAAGGAAATTGCAGCATGGTAAAGATTTACTGCTGAAGAAGGAGAGGTGTTAATCCTGCTCTGTCTGCATGCCTGCGGACACCCGAGCCCCAAAGGCCAGGCCTGCTGGCTGCCTGGCCAGCACTGGGCCCTGGCCCCAGGAGAAGGACAGCTCCGGAGCCTCCCCCCCTCCACGCTCTCCCGGCCCTTCTCCATTTACAAATAAGAAACTGAATGGGTCCTGTCCACCTCCCTCACTGTGTCACCTGTGGGCCTAAACAGCATGGGTTCCCTTTGGCCAGTGTTTCTTTGGAGTTTGACCTCTCTGTCTTCTCCTGAAACATTCAGAAAAAAACATGCAACTTCCAAGCCACTGATTTCTAACATTCTGGAACAGATGGTGAAGAGAAAAGTAACTCACCCTAAAAATGTTTATGTCCCAGTGTGCCACAGTCTCACTCTTTAAACATGGTTACAGTAGTGGTTGATACACTGTGTCAACTGGAGAAGTCCAGCAGTTTGAGTAAATGACTCAGCAGAGGGCCAGGGGCTCACTTTGCAAACATCCTTATCCTGGGCCAGAGGAGGGCAGGGAGAGGGTGTGAGTGCCACCCCCGTACCCGCCCCAGGGCAGGCAGCCTGCTTACAAGGGAGGAGAAGAGGCTTGCTCTCCCGCTTTTGCTGTCTTCTGCCACCCTGAAGTGTTGCCCTGTGCCATGCCACCCTGCCTGGGAGCCAGCTGATCATGGACTGAAACCTCCACACACTGTGAGCTAAATAAACTTTCTTCCCTTAATTTTGGCATCAGGTTTTTCATCTCAGCAATGAGAAAAAACTCACTAAGATAGTTGCCTATATTAAAATTTTACCAGAGAAGCTGGAGGAAACCCACACTTGAAAGTAATCAAATTTATATAAATGATCACAGTCAGCTGATGATTTCAGAGATATAGGAAGTTATGCAAGAAGGATGTCTTGTTTTATATGCCCCACGGAGAGTCATGAACTGTGTGTGTAGGTGGGGGGGAACCCTCTGTTCATTGGTTTAAAACATTAACAGGCCCAATGAGAAAGTCATGACTCACAAATTTTGCTTAAGAAAATGATTTCTTTTTCTATGTGGAACAAAATATTAACCAGGCAGGCAGGAGACTGAGGCAGGAGGATGGCTTCAACCCAGGAGTTCAGGGCCAACCTGGATAACATTGAGTCCCCATTTCAAAAGCTAAAAGGAGAAAGAGAAGGAAAAGGAGAGAAAGAAGAAAAGGAAGAGGAAGAAAAAGGAAAAGAGGGAGAGGAAGAAAGGCAAGCAGAAGTCTCAAAAAGATCCATTTCAGGGTAACTCATTTGTTTTCCCCAGCACATTTGATCAGTCCTTATTCACTCACAATGAAACACCTCCGAGGCTTTTTACATACAACATCTCCATTTCCTGGTCTCGGTGTCAGCAGAGACGCCTTCCCACCCAAGTAGCACTTTCAGAGCAGTTGCTGGGCTAGGAAGGGTGTTTTCCGAAGCTGCCTGGCAAGGATCCCTCGTTCTGATTATTAACCATGATGATTCCTAGCCCCAGCCAGGAGGCAGAATGCACCTGAATCGGTCTGGCCGTACCGCACACACCACTGTGTGCCGCTAACTGGGAAAGCAACCAAGGATACAGACAAGAAACACAAGGTCCTGACCCGCAGGTCCCTGTCTCCAGCGAGGTGTCTAAAGCGTTAAAAGCCACTGCATGGAGCCAGGAGTGCTGGCATACGACTGTAATCCCAGGAGGCTGAGGCAGAAGGATTGTTGCAAGTTCGAGACCAGCCTGAGCCACAAAGTGAGCTCAAGGCCGGCCTGAACTGCGTAGTGAGATCTGTCTTAGAAAGAAAAAAGCAAACACTGTGTGGGCTGCAGCAGAGGCCTGAGCAAAGCGCGCCTCAGCGGTGGAACCAGCGAGGAGCTGGTGCTGGGGCTCGCACTGATGAAGTGCTCGCCCTGGGCCCAGAGGTGGCTCAGGGGTACAGCACATGCCTAGCACACTTGAGGGGGTCACACCCAGCCTCCCAGAGAGAGAAGAGAAACGTGCTCAATAGGACAACAGAGCTGTGCTGTAGCTACCACTGAGTATCAGACAGCGCAGCTCCCTGGCTGGCCGAGGAGCACACAGCTGACATGGGCTCAGCACCTGAGCTCTGCACGTCGGGGGACGCAGGCGCTCACGCCCGCCCCATCAGCAAGCTCTGCCTGACTCCTCTCTATCTCAGTAGCCCCGCTCTACCCTGGGGAGCTCTGCGTCCTCAGGAGATTAGGAACTTCCCAAGACAATTGTGCCCCTCCCAGCGTCTCTGGATTTGAAGTCTGAACCCACCGTTTTAAAGGACTCTTCTTCAAGCTGTGTTTCCACGAGCTTCCTTTATATACACACATGAAGAGGGCATGCTGGGGGTGGAACTGGCACCAGGGGCTTCACTGAAGCTCCACCACCTCCAAAATACACCCCAGCCCTTAGGAAACTGGCCTGGTAACTCTTGAGCCTCCAGGCACACAGCGGAGCAGCCTAGGGGCCAGGCGCAGTCAGAGGCCTCCAGGTTACTAACCCAGCTCCGCTGAGCAGTTCGCTGAGCAGTTTCATGCAGGCTTCTTGGTGAAACAAAATAGGATTTATCTAGTCATACACCTTCCGAGGTTCTACCCACCAGTGTGAAAGAGAACTTGAAAAGGGTCACAGAAATGGCTTCCTGGTATAAGAAAAGACAGGGTACAAAAGACACTTTTCAGGAGCTAAGTCAGCAGCTAATTACCTCATGTTTTCCGGAACTTGGATCCAGTTCGCTGGAATTTTCCTCCAGGAAGCACGTCACTTTCTCCACCTCCTTCATGCACTGGAAAAACGTCACTTTCTCCAGCCCGGTGCTGCTGTAACATGTGTTGATTTCTTCTAGCCGCTTGGCTTTCAGCATCTTGGTGGTGAGGCCAATCCAGCTGCTCTCTGCAGTGTGGTGTTTGCTTGCCTGAGTCTCCGATGTGTAAACCAAGACACAGTCGTGACTTTTCAGTGTTCCGTTCTTTTGGCTGCAAAGAAAAGAAACCAAGAACATTCTCATGGCTCATTCCCATACCCACCTCTTGAGGAAATGATCAGTGAGGACTGGGAATTAACTTCTGTTTAAACAGAAGAAATCAAGAAATACTAATATTCACATGGCGTTTCCACTGCTGGAATTTCTTTCTTTTAGTGGCACTGGAAAGGGAACCCAGGGTCTTCCTACTGAGCTATATCCCAGACCTTTTTACTTTTTACTTTGAGGCAGGGTGTCGTTAAATTGCTGTATTTCCCAGACTGGACTCACACCTGAGACTCTCTTGCCTCATCCTCCCAGAGCACTGGGATTGCAGGTGTGTGTCTCTGCACCCGGCTAGAAGTTTTAAAGGGAATCATTTTTTCACTTTTTCCTGCAAAAAAAAAAAATAGTAAGAAGCAATCTTGATCCCCACTGGGTGACTGTATATTTCTCTTATCAGATAAAATAGGCTGTGTTCTGTGACAATAAAATCTACCACCCAAGTACATTGCTTATGCATTCGTCATATTTTGTATCAGTTATTCAGAGAAACTGGAAACCTCTGCAGATACAAGAATGGCTGTGCAAGACGTCATTTTGTTAAAAATTCAAGGGATATCAACATATATGGTGGTACTTCAATTAAAAAAAATTATCACAGCAAAAGACACATTGCCAAGAACTTCCCTTCAGTTATAAACACTTATCGATCTGCCACATTCTGAGGCAGATCTGGAAGTCTTCTTTTGTGAGGTCTTTACAAGACGTGATTTAAAAATATATGATGAATACTCCCGCCGTGTGCCGTCCAGCAGAACAGCAGGCTTATACCACATCACAGCATGGTCTGTTCCCCTCATTCACCGGGTCTGCTGCTGCGGACTTCCAGATCCCCCAAAAGTCAGAATGCCCACGAAGGGTAAATGCTTTGAATCAATTCAGGACATTGAGGCAGCCAGGACAGTGCAGCTAAACACAGGAAAGAGGACCTCCAGTGGGGGGACGGTGGGATAAGCAAGTTTGAAGACAGGGGGATACTTGGGGGAGCATTAATGGCAATGTCTTTTTCTATAATCATTTTTCCAACATAAACACTGACTGTCTTTTTCAGCTGCATCTCGTAATTTATCAGTGTTGGTAAACAGTAAGCACACACAGTCCCTTCTACCTGACACCTCTCCTCTCTGCATAGGAAAGGTCTGTGAATGGGGAGAAGGTAAGGAGAGCTTCACCTGTGGCCCTGCAGAGATGACTGCAGGCAGCTGTACCCGGGAGGCGTTGTCTGCATGGAAAGGTGGCTTGGAGCTTCCTCCACCCCGGAGCTACACTCCAGCCTCCCTGTCATGTGGAAGTCCGAATTCTTGTGCTTTCTTTGAGATACTTTCCAGGAAAATTAAGTAACGCACTAACTACATAGTTCTGCTTTGACTCTAACACAATTGGGTGTATAAAGAGAGGAAGATACAGAGTGATCTGAATCTGTGGCAGTTTCCCACGCGTGTGTCCCAGGCCCCCTGCTGGAAGCTGTCTCAAAGTTGCTTCTTCAACCCTTCTCTCAGTTTAAAAACCATCTGTCATTCTCCCCGTGGACCTTCATTTTCACAACTCGTACAGTAAAACAATAGAATTCCAACACACATTGTAAATCCAATACTCTACAAAATTCTACACATCACCTACAGAGTCAAACAACTCAAAAAGCAAACAGCATGAATCAGAACTCGACAGATACTTATAGGTCATTATTAGCATTCTGGAAATCCTCCTTGGAAGAAAATAATTATTAAAAGAAAAAAACATGCAACGGCTGTTCTAGGGCAAACTACGGCTAAAATATAACAATTGCAGACAATACTACAGATGCATTAGGAAGATACACACGGATGAACATACGAAACCAAATTGTAGGTCTGTAATATAATCATTGACAGAAGAAACCTTAAACATTAAATCTACCTGAAGTTTGGCATACAGGAAGAAAAGAGATTTGAGATGTTACAACAAGATGCAAAAATAATTACCATGTATATGAGGACATCACAGAGTTTGAACCACTCCAAGGGCGGTGACAAATTCCAGTAAATAAAGGGAAATTTTGCAGGATTGAAACTGACCACACACACAGGTCTCTGGTAGAAGTCCTCCCTCTTGGTCAGCAGAACCCTTCTGCAGAGATAAGTGTCTACTACAAGAGGAAGTGTCCTCTCTCTAAGGCCACTTTGAACCCCTGTTTAAACTGATACGGTCCTTGATCTCATATTGCTCAGCTGTTGCCATCTTAGTCAGATGGAGAAGAACATTAATTTTAGACACAGGCTTTTCAGGGCCCATGGCTCCATTTCAGAGGTCAGGTAAGGAGAGGACGAGCTGGGAACATTGGATGAAATATCACCTTCCCCTTGCTCTCCCTTTCATCAGTGTGGCAATACTCTCGGAATTACAAAGCTGGATTTGCCATTGGCAATCCTATGTGCCTTTCGGATTCACAATTATCTAAATGTTTGTTCCCATTGGGCAGGTTGCAAGCCGTGGGAACCCCACAGCTACATGCACCCGTGAACACATTCTGCTGCAATATGGGGTCTCCTGAAAACATTTAGCAGATTCGTTTTAATTTTCTCAACCCTTAAAGGTATTTTCAGAGTCTCCAATGGTTTACAGCTCTAGGGAAAGGTCAAAGGCACAGGCATCCAGGTGAGTACAAAGACCTGGGATACATTTTTCCTAACTTTCTTCATGACAGAGCTGTGAGTGTCTCCTGGTTTTCTGCACAGACCAAGAAAAGGGAGATAATGCAAAAACAGGTACCACCAGATCCTGACAATGGCGCACTCCTGGATTTACTGGAGTGGCATAAAACCCTGATCCCTAGAAACTAGGACTAGTATTACGGGCAACCATGCAGTCCTGTGGAACCAAGCCAGCCGCCCCCCTGTTACGTAGCTTTTGCTGACCCACTTACCTTCCATCCCAGTGCTAGCCTTCTACACTCTTGAGTTTTTATGCTTTTGTTTTAATCCAAATCAATGTGTTCCATATAAAAATAGATGTGCTCCATCTTAAGTAGCATTTGAGGAATGACAGCAGACCCTTTTTAAAACAACGGAATCATCGGCATTTTTTCTAGGATTAAAGCACTTTGGTCTCTAGGAAGACTAAGCAGAAGGATTCATTTGTAAAAGAGAAGTCTTTCCACAAATCTATTGTGAAAAGACTAGAAAATTTTTACGGTGGTTAGTTTTGCAGGTGTGCAAAAGCAGGTAAGGTGACAGCTGCCCCCAGCAGAGGGAAGGTGCGTGCGGCCTCATCCTCTACTCAGATCATTGAAAATGGTGAAGTCAGATGTTTTATACTCTGGGCTCCAGAAATCTAGTCACAGCCAGAGCCCCCTAGAATCTCGTCCTTGGCTATTTTTTAATAAACTTCCTGTAGAGTAATTTTAGACCTCCAGGAAAGGTAGCTCAGAGCTCCAGGTTCTTCAGTTTCCCTGTGCCTGCCTCTCCTGCTTATTTTGACCATCTTACGTTGAAACGTGGAGTTTGTTGCCCTCGTTGAACCACTGCTGATACCTCACTGTTCACTAAGCCTAACAGCTCATTTTCTTGGTTTTTTTCTCCCTGACGTCTTTTTTAGAATCTAGAATCCCATGCAAGCATCTCCTCTGTATCTAGAATCTATGGGACTTGTGATGGATTGCATCGGGAGTATGAAAGAAGATGGTTTACAAGTCTCTTCCTGAGCACCTGAAGGAGACAGTTGGTGTGAACTGAGATGGAGCAGGCCAGGAGGCAGCGGATCTGGAGAGGAAGGACGAGAGGCCGACTTTTGACAGCCTAGTAAGTGTTCAGGGAGAATAAACAGTGGAAGCAGGAATCTGGGAACAGATTAGAATAAACAGTGGAAGCAGGAGTCAGGGCTACAGGCAAGCAATAAACATTTGTTGATTAATCACTAGATAGAATGATCTTTGATTGCCTCTACTTGCCTTAAAAGAAAAGTCAATTGAAGGAATCCATTTTACTCAACTTCTAAAATTCAGTGACAACGGCCCAGTTCCCTATGGCTACTGATGGCTTGAAGAACACAAAATATTGACCACAAAAAAAAAAAAATCACATGCATGTTCATTTCGCTTTATTTGTTTAGCTTCTGCACCCTACGGTCCACCCATAAAATACTCTGAGAGCCCTGAAGATGCCCTTATGCACAGAGAGGTTTACAGTAAGACCGTGAGCAGGCCCATCGGTACATTTCTCGTAATTCCATGGCATTTTACAGTTATACGTCTGTTTAAAATAACAACATAAGGAAAACAGCTTCCCACAGAGCCATGAAAAAGAAGCCTTCGATTCTTTTCAAGGGACGTTCCCATTAGTTGGTTAAGGGGAGCCGGCAGCCGCCTGCTGGTGGCCTTCAAGCCATGCTGGAGAATGCTAATAGTTTTCAAGTGTTTCCGGAACAAGAAGACTTCACCTACACACAGAGGTGGGGTCACTGTCTGGAATACCAACGTGGAAATGAAAGGCCACGGCTTCCCACTATCCCTGCTCTCACTGAACTTCCTCTCTTTTGTAAAGGACTTTGCATGTGACCCATAAAGCAAAACACTGGTCAGCTGAACATCATCAAAATTCAAGACGTTTGCTGTTAAAAAGACACCAGTAGAAAAACGAACAGACCGGCTATAGACGTGGAGAAAATAATTTATTTGATAAAGAGCTTGTATCTCAAATAAAGGCGAATTTGTAAATTCAGTAATAGGGTGCCGAACATCTCAATTTTAAAAATTAATGAAAGATTTGAATAGACATCTCACTATATACAACACATAAGGGTTACTGAGCATATGATATAAATGAAAACCAGCCACAGGGTGACACAAGTTAAAGCAATAATGAAATAATATTTCACACCCACCAGAAAAGTTATGATAAAAAAGAGGAAAGCAAATGTTGAGAGGAATGTGGAGAAATCTGAACCGACATCAGACAAGGTGATGGGAACAGGAAAAGCATAGGTGTTTTGAGATAGCACGACCTTGTAGTTTTTCTCCAAGGAATCTCCCCGAGAGAAATAAAAACATAGGAACACACAAACCTGGCACATGAATGGTCATAGAAGCATTCGTTATTCACAATAGCAAAAACTTGAAAAACCACCAAACGTCCACGAGTTAGTTTTGTGAATGCGAAAACATAATGTACCATATCCACACAAATGAAATCCTGCCCGGCAGTCAGGAGGAATGGAACAGGGGCAGGAGGGAGAGAGGAGAAATTCCTGCAAGGAGCAGGCAGAAGATCAGCGGGAAAAAGAGGAAGCTGACCCTCCAAAACCAGAGGCTGCTCAGTTCTGACAGCTGGACCGTAACAGGGAAAGACAGGAGACCACGTGGAGTATGGGTATCTGAGAGCCACAAGAACTCTGTAGAGACCACAAGAGCACCCACCCTAACGACTGCGCCAGGCCTGGGAACACAGGCACCACAGAATATCCTGCACAACTGCAAGTGACACCAAGTCAACAGTAATTAATTTTAATCACATTTACATCTTGGTTTTGATGCCACCACCATCGCCACCCCACCACTGGGCGCCATGACAGTCCCTCAAAGGTCCATAAACAGTAGGGACAGAAGCTCCCCTCCAACAGAGAGGAGGAAGTTTGGAGTGAACAGCACCCCAGTCCAAAGAGCTAACTTCCCCTGGTGAGAAGCACCTGCCGGCTCCGACACCTGGCTCCTTTCCATGTCCTACTCCTGCCCTGAGGAGCAGATCCCGGCTGATAAACCTGCACATTCACTCCTACTTCTGTGTGTCCTGCTCCATTCCTTGTTCACGATACCAGTAACCAAGGACAATGGCTGTCACTAACAATAACAGTTGTTCCAATATGAATGCACAAAAACGCCACACTGAGTGAAAAAAACAGAAATGAAGACTAGCTGTGTGATTCTGTTTGTCTGAAATGCCATAAAAAGGCAAGTCTTGGGACACAAAGTAGATTGGTGGTTGCCTGGAGCTGGGGTAGGAACAAGCATAAACTATAAACAGAATGTTACTGGGTGAGGAACTACGGGCATGGCTGGAAAAGTCATTAAGTTTCTAAGACATTGCTGAATTGTGCACTTAAGATGGGTGAATTTTAGCTCTGCAAATTACACTTCAATCATGTCACTTAAGAAAAGAAAACACAATGACATGACTAATAAAAACACAAGCTAATACAGATAAAAGAAGGGGGCGAAAGTGTTGCCGAGCAGTTTGTGGCCAAGCGTTCCAGGTGACCACGGCTGGGATCCAGGAAGATAAATTACATCCCACACTCCACCAGGTCACCTGGGGCCAAAGACAAGAAGAGAAGATGATAAAGCGGGGAAAGCAGAGATCCACACATTTTTCTTCTGGTTGCAAATACCACCTACGGTTGCGGACAGTAGAGAAATCAATGGGAATTCAAGAGCACTCCTAAGTTTTATTATCTGTTTGGATATGGAACACTCTACACAAGAAGGATAAAGCTATCGCTGAGTTGTTTACAGCCCCGGTTGACATTAGACTCTTAACATTACCAAGTGACAGTGAGTAAGTGGCTAAAAATTGCATAATAAATAATGAGGCCTATAAAATCCCCACGCTAGCTGAGGGTGCAGTTGGGCGGCAGGGTTCCTGCCCAGCGTGCATGAGGCCTTTGGTCCAATCCCCAGTAATACAAAAAGAAAAAGAAAAAGAACAAACTCCCACATTCTTTTTCCTACTTAAAAAAACTTAACATGGAAGATTTTAAAAACCTATGTGAAAATATGAGTACAATTATTTAAAAATTAATCTCTTCCAAAATTGTTAAATGTTTTCATTCACTATTTCATAAGTTACAGTCTTTGGCCTCTGTATGCCTTTTTTATTTTATTATAGAATATAAACACACAATACTAAGTTTAAAAATAACACATGCTATTTCAATGGGTTGAAGTATATTATGCAAATCCTACTCATAATTAAATTTGTGAATAAATTTCCAGTGCTCACAGATAACTTCTGTATCGTTTTTGTTAACTATGTCTCGATTTCCCTAATATTTTTAGCTCCTAGTTTAGTAGCAGAGTGCTTGCCTAGCATCCATGAGGCCTAGAGTTCAATTTCTAGTATTGCAAAAGATAAAAGTAAAACATTAACAATTTCAGTCCCACAGAGAAGTTGCCAGAATACACAATGATTATTA